CTCTGGCGGTGCTCTGGGCCTGCTTGCTTTTAAGCTGCGCCATTTTTAATTAAATTAAAAAGTCGCGACGGGCTGCGTCATGGCCACAATGCAATTGTAAGGTTTCCATTTTAATTAAAGTTTTTACGGCCATTCACTTGGCTCAAATGCGAAGCGGAATCGCAACACAAACACCGCCGCAGCGAGTAACTGAAGCCGGCTGCGGCATTCAAATTTCATATTCCGTTGAAGAGCTGCTTGGCTGGGGCGTCGCTTGGGGGCAGTGTAGCCGGCGGGGGTGTAACTATTTAAATTGCAGAAGCAAAACACAAAAATGTATGAGCCCTACAACAGATAGCTAAAGGGAGACAGAGAAGGAGAGCGAGCGAGAGAGAGGGAGAGAGAGATGGAGGAAAAGTGCGCTGATTTCCTTGCCGCTTAAAGTGCCACTCAAAATGCAGCCGAAGCGCGAGCCAATTTGTTGAGCCAAGTTTTCTTTTTTGGTATTTTCTCCTTTTTTTTTTTTTAGTTCCCCTGGCGGATTGCCAAACGCCGAGCCTTGGGCATTAAACTTTCAGCTGGCAATTAAACGATTATATTCAAGCTCGGGCGCAGGTGTTTAATTTGTTATTGATGTGTTTACTGTAAGATGCACGCACACCAAGTGTAACGTCCTATCGTACGATTAAAGCTTTAACAGGCTAAGGAATGCTTCAGATAACGGGGCTGAGGCACTGTCAAGGCTTCGCAGCATCCTCGAGTGTGCGTACAGAGCGCTGCATAAGCAACTTCATGCAGCTGCCTGATTAATGCAGCGCAATGCGTAACCCGCAGACCCTCAGCCCCGCAAATGCTCACAAACTAATTAAGCAAATTGCCAGAGCAAATATTAAATGTCTGCACACGGGCAAGGCCAGCCCTCTTCATCCAATCGATTGCACCAACAGTGTATATTGTTCCAGCTGGCTGAATAACTTGCCACAAGCATGAAGTAAGAACTCGCCTCGGGCTAGAGCAAAGCACGCAGCGTAATTAAATTGTCAATTGAGACGTCCGGAATGCAAACGGAACTGCCAAACACCGATAGCCGTCCGGCCAAGACTTTCGCCCAAAAAAAAAAATAAACGGAGTGCTTCAACTCAATGAGTTCTCTTCGGGGACCCACTGTCGACGCTTGGCGGCAGTTTTTGGCCGCTTTGTGATTTGGCTCATTGTGTAGCAATTTTGTTGTTAGCCGGACAAATTGAAGAAACAAAAGGCGGGCAGGTGTGCAAGGCATGGCACCTGATTCAGAGCTCCTTCTCTCTGGCTTTGACTGTGCACTCTGATGTAGCTCCTTAAATTCAGCCAAACAATGAACAGATGTATGCTGTGTAAAATATACCCTGTAATACTAGAAGAGCGGACAGACTTATTATTACTCATTGTTTGCATATAATCATATGAATTGCCTATAATATATATTTACGTATAAATATCTATCCACATATTAATTCTCATCTAGTTTGTTAGTTTGCTCTAGCCTTCATCTCTTCACTCTACTATAGGGTATTGCTGGAAACTGCATCAAGTCTGTGGAGGTAATGCCTAAACAAGTACAAAACGCGGCCAAGTGTAAATTGCTTTGTGTATTTGCTTTCAGAAATTCAAAGCATTTGCAAACTAAGTTTTATTTACACGAAGAGCCAGAACTATTTTCGTACTTAATAAAAGCCAATTGAAACTTAATTTAGCTACCCATACACACATACATGTATATGTATAAATATTTTGTTGCTCTATAGCTTGTTAGCGCTGGACTCTGTCTGCTCTGTGCCTTTGTGGTTCAATGAGTGCAACTTAATTTGGTTCGAGTTGGTAATGAGCTAAAATTAGTTGAAGCAATCGATGTGGCCACGCCTGGGTGAGCACAATTGGCAACTTGGCACCAAACCGAAAAGGTCAAATCAAACGTGGGTCAGTTGGAAATCGAGCTAAGTAACATGTTGTCCGTTTTAAGTGTCCCAAATTGGACACCCACAAGTTGGCTTTCAACTATTTTCAGCAGGACTTTCAATTCAATTAGAAACCTGAGCCTGCACTTGCGCCAGCTGAAAACTTTGCTCACATTGTGATGGACACATACGTGAAAGGCGACGAGATACGTGACAGCATTTTATGGACCAGTCGGAGCCCGCAACAGATGCTCGGCTCGGGGATGTTTGACCTCCGAACTGGTCATTGAACTAACGTCCGTTTCTTTTCCTTATTTCAGCTGGCTTGTCTATGGAGCACCAATCTAGTTCCTCACCAGCAGGACTCTTAAGCAAATATGGACTCACTCACTGGCCTATAGCTACGAAGGGCGGATATTCGTTGTTCAATTTCCGAAATGACTCAAGCACTTAGCTATAGATTTATCTTTTCAATTTTTCAACTTCTTGCCAACTGGCACTCAGTCCTTCGTGACGTCTTTTATATGTGAATATGTGAATGAAAAATGATAAGCCCCTTTGTTTTTTCTTTGATTAAGAAGAGTATAAAGTTTTTTTTTTTTTTTTTTTTTTTTTTGGCAATTATACAAAATTGTGTGCAATTTAATAAGTAAAATATATAAAAACAACATTTATAGTAAGCACAACCTCTTAGCTACTCTCCAACGTCAGCTTTAATATAATTTAGAGTCGACTAGCTACCTGGCTATAGAGTGTTCGGCAGTCGCTGCTTCCGGCTGAATGATTCTTTCGTGTTTCAATTGCATTTCTTATCCTCTGTGAGACATTATTTATTTATATGCCCAAATGCTGCCTTTCGATTCGGTGCTACATCTTTGCTGCGAGGCAGACTTTGTCGGCGCAGCTGCAGCTGCACTTGCGCTTATTAAAGATTAACTGCATTGTCTGGCCGGGCCAGGCGCTGGGTTCATCGAGGTCAATGGGGCTTAGGGGCCAGTTAGACAAAATAGCTCATGCTCCAGGGGCGGCAGTCACAAAAAAATGAGGCAAAAGCGCAACTTCAGAAAAGAAAATGTACGCCTAATGGTCATTGGACTACAAATTTCATATATGTGTGTATGTGCTACTCTCTCTGTGTGTGTGTGTGTGTGTGTCTGTGTCAATTGCACGATACGCCAATGAAATATTTAGTAGCTGCTCTTCAGCTGCGCTCTCAAACGGCCCGGATTATGCTATCTGTCTGGCCCGTGCATTCAGCTTGCCAGCTAAATTGCCAGCCCTTTTGACTGGTAGACTGGCTGACTGGTTGACTGCCTTGTTGACTGTTGGCCCACTGCCTGGCTGACTGTTGGCTGTCACTAATCATCGCTGTTCAGTGAAGCCGCCGCGCACTCCGAATGCAATTAAAATGCCAGCGAAACTTGACCGAGGGATGTGGTACAAAAATGTTCAAGGCGTATGAAGCGCAGTCGATCCAGTTCCCAGGATGTGAGCAAACACTCATTTCACATGCCGAAAGGATGGGCTAACTGGCCTGCCGGCCAGTCAACATATGACAAGAGTTAGAGATTTGTAAACAGCTGGGCAGGCCGCTGTGAAGGGTCACGCCCACAATGCAGCCATTAAGCGCACTTGTGACGCACGTAAATTAATTTACTGTCAGCCATTTATGACCCCCAGAACACACGCCGAAAGTGAGAAAAGAGAGTTGTTTGCCTTATTGACAGGCGAAAAATGTAGCCAACATAAAGCAGAAGAAAACTTGCGGCTGCTAAAAGTTAAATAATAAATAACATTTAGTACCATGCCACACCACGGCACACGAGACGCATCCTAATCGTTCATCCAGAACGTTAAGTTAACTTTAAGCTAGATTTATGAAGGCGACGAAATACTAATACATATATATTGTATAATATACATTTTTTTAAGTATAATAATAATAATGTTTATTGAAGCTATACGAGGTACTCCAGTAACCCCTTTGTGAGCTGTGAGGTAAATAATGAAAGTTGGCATTCTCAATAAATTTCAACTTAAATAAAGAGTTGCATTTGCTTTAATCCCGTCAAAAGGATCCTCGAAGGCAGATTGTGTTAAAGAGCTTATGGCATGCCAAATATTGTGAGGCATTGTTTTAGGGACTGAATAGTTTATATGAATTTTGCTGCTGTGACAACGGCCGCCGTTGTCGCGACAACCGAGCCGAGCGAGACAACGTTGCAGGCATTTGTTATGCATCCCCATTGGATGGCAGGCAAATTGCGGATATTATCAGAGGGGTGTCACTAGCTGTGGCAGCGCCAACAGATACTTAAGTGCCACAGAGCGGAGCGGCCTCTGCGTGTGTGCGGCTTGTAAGCGGAAGCACGCGACTCTGGCGGAAATTACCGGCACATGCAACACACGCAGCTGGCAGCCAGCAGGCGGCCCGTAGACCGCAGCCTGCCGCGCTCGCCGCTTGCAGCTGAATGTGCTGGAATGAGTTTTTAACAAATTATAAAGGAACAAAAAATATAGAGGAGAAAATTGTAAAAATTACAATGCATGCCATGCCATAAATACCAAAGTTTAAGACCTTGACAGCCATGACCAATTGACCCAATTGTTTCCGCCAAATGGTTTGCATGCGCTAAGGTGTTCGAGTGGGTGGAGGGGCCTAGTGGAGGCGTGCGTGGGTGCAGGACCATGCTATATATATGTGTGTGAGTGTAGGTGTGTGTGTGTGTATGCTCTGGTGCCAAATTGAATCTTAAGCGCACGACAAACCAAAAAACAAGGCCAGCTCCATGCCACAGTCCGAGCCACAGTCCATGCCACAACCTCAACCTCTGCCTCTGCCTCAGTCTCAGCTTCAGTCTCAGCCTCTGCCTCGGCACACAGTCAACTTGTGTCTGTGCTGTGTGCCCAGCACAAGCCAAGCAAAAGAAGAGCCGACAGTAGGCAAAGAGCAGCCAGCACTCTCTTCGGCGCGTGCGGCTCTCTTTGGCCTCGCACTTTTATCCGGAGTGCATGTGCCGCTCGTGTTCGTGCCACAACACAAGCTGGGTTAATGCCAGCGACGTTTTGGGCGCGTTTGTCAGTTTGCCGCAGTCCAGCAATGAACGCGCAGCACGCGGATATTCAGGATAAGAGTTCAGTTAACCGTACTCAGTGAGCCGTTAACATAGTTTCGAATCGCCAACGCAACTTGACGTAATTTTGTTCACTTGCCGCCAAAGGCGTCAAACATAAGTTGCTCGTGAAATTTATATACAAGGACGTGCATTAAGCTTGTGCATGTGTGCGTGTGTGATTTGTGCTCTCACTCTCTCTCTGTCTCCCTCGCACTGAGTCACTCTCTCTCTCTCTCTCGCTCGCTGACCAACTATGACCCACGCAACTTTGGTCGCGGACAGGCGTTACATTCGCCACGGCTACAAACTCGGTATCCTTCTACGCCGCAACGACAACGTACTCGTTCCGGTCGAATAGGATCTGGTGTTAAAACCGCAAATTCAACGTCCAGTTGCAATATTCACAGCGTGCCGCAGCAGCCGCAAATAGAGCCCTGACACCTGCATAAGCATAGGTGGCTCTACGCATACTCCACTCGCATTTCGCGTCGCGTCGCCCGTTCCGCAAAAAAAACAACTCGGTATTAGTTATGCTATTATCTGCGCGCACTTGTGTGTGTGTGTCCGCGTGTGTGTGCGTGTGCGAGATATGCGTATATGCCAGCCTGCCAGCAGGCTCCACCACAGCTCCCACGAGCCGCCAGTCGCGCTGGCTGTGTAAGTGATATGCTAGTGCACATTTAACTATTTAGATATTTAGTTTCGGCTGCCTGCTGCAATCTGTGCCACGGGCAACGCACCGTGCCACAATATAAATTACCTGGCTGTGCGCACACTAACGACAGTGACAGGGTCCGGCAGCTGCAACTGCAGCAGGAGCCGTAGCTCTCTCTGCAACGGACTTTGAGCTGACCAACCTTAATTAAATTTCAGATGTTTTATCAAAATTTACGACACGGTTTCTGGCTGATGTGCCTCCTGCTGTCTCCTGCTGCCAACTGCTGCTGGCTTGTTTCGTTAGGGCTTACATCATTCAATCCGGCTCCATAATGTTTCTGTTCAATCTTTTTGCCCAATAATAACAAACTGATGCGATGGCCGGCCATGTCGATTGCAGCCGCGGGCCGTTTTCTCGGTTTGCTGGTTGAAAAATTGGCAAAAACTAAGTCAAACTCCATTAGAACGTACAAAAGGCGGACATGATTTATGTATGTGGAGGCCATGCATCATATTGCCCATCGCCGGACGCACATCTGATATTATTGTTTTCTCTGCTTTGTTGCTGCAGCTTTTAAGCATTTTCCACTGGCATACTCGTTTAAGGCCATGGGCAAGCGGTACGCCTTGTTAGCTTCCAATATACTAAAATATTACGGCTAAAAATTGAAATTAGATATATGTATTATGTTTGGACAAAGAGCAAATACTAACATAAAATATTGATACTATTAGCCATAGTCATATGAGTAGCAATAGCCCTGATGCTTAAAAATATTCGGAGCTCTGCAAGTAAAGTGGGACAAATATGATCAGTAACAGTAGTAACGGTAACATTAACAGACAAAGTAACATTTAACAGTTAATAGTTAACAACGTAGTTGTAGTAGCTCTAGCCCTGATGCTTAAAAATAATTGGAACTGAAAGTAAAGTGACATAAAACGGACAAAGGTAGTTCGAATATGAACAATAACAGTAGTAAGCGTAGCATATACAGTCAATGTAACATTTAACAGTCAATAGTTAACAGATTTATGAGTAGTTATAGTAACACCAGTCTTTAAAAATAATTGGAGCTGCATGTGAAGTGTCATAAAACCGATAAAAATACTGCGAATATGAACAGCAACAGTAGTAACCGTAACATTTAAAGTCAATGTAATAGTTAATAGTTAGCAGATTTATGAGCAGTAATTGGAACTCTATGTAAATTGGCATAAAATGGACAAAATTAGTGCGAATATGAATAGTAGCAGTCGTAACCGTAACATTCAAAGGTAATGTACTAGTTAACAGTCAATAGTTAACAGTTATCATTAAAGAACAATATTAACAGTAATGCGTAGTAAAGCTAACAGATTCAGCGACAGTTGCTTTAATAGTAACAGGTAAAGTTCACTTTCCGTTGCCTACCCCCAGGCGTAAGCAGTGGGTGAATCGGTCTCTACTTTTCCTTCCATGGGGCTCATAATAAATCAATGCCTGCTGTAGCTCATCATTAGCGAAAGGCAAACACCATGTCGTTGCTAATCATTCACCAGAATGTAGAAATACAGATACTTAAATGCCTATGCCGAGGGAAATATGGAATACGGTAAAATCAAGGAAGTTTTATAGATTTATTTCTGTTACCTCTGTCCCTCCATGGGTGCCGAGGATTGGTTATTATTTGCCGCCAGAGTCGTTGCCGGCGCCGAGGCGCCCAAGCGAGCAATAGGAAGTATCGAATACCCGACGTTTTATCAATTGCCATATCGCGTGCTCAGTCGCGCCAAATATTACCAAAAGCGAACGAGGCAAGGAACAAGAAAAAATAAATATACGACTATATAAAATAAAAAAAAAAAAAAAATAAAATAACTAGAATGAACTAGAGTGCAGGAATTTGAGTCAACTGAATCGAGAAATATATTCTTGTTTCATATTTTGAGTGTGGGGAGGCAAACTGGAACAATAAGCGCACAAAATGTGTAAATTGTTGCTAACAAGAAATTTGATAGCGTTTTATGCGCTACTCAGCCAGAGTTTAGTTTCGCTTATGGAATTGTTTGTTTTTGGGTTTCGCTACTGCAATATTTGATAGCTGCCCGTCGCTTCGCCATTTGCCATTTGCCATTTGGCATGTGTAATGTGTACTTTGGGCTAATCGAACCTGGTTGTCATGCATTCGCATTAGCCCCCGCCCTGTCTCACTCTCTCTTCCTCTCGCGCTGCCTCTTCCTTTGTGTACGCATTCGATGTGCCACGCCCCATTTGGCAGCTAACGGTCGAAATTCAGTTTGATATAAATGAACTGTTTATGCTAATATATGAGCTCACTGGCAAGATAGCCGAATGGAAGGGGGCTCAGGCACAGGCCCAGGCACAGAGTGTGCCAATTGAGAGGAATGGGCTCATTACTAAATTAAGCATGCTGGCAACACCTGCTGCGTGCATGTGTGTGTATAAGTGTATGCCTGCTGAATGTGCGTGTGTGTGTCAATGTCAAAGGAGGCATACACAAAAGAGCTACCCGGCGCCTACGCGCTGCAGGCAAATTACGGCTAATTAACATTTCTTTCAATTTATACCACACAATTTGCCGTATGCCAACCTAAATTACACTGTGAAAAATGTAATATAAATAATTGCTTCAGATAATTTTGTACAAACAATAATAAATAATTGCATTTTCGATTAAAATGAATATTAATTACCTAGATATTTGACAATTCTCTATTGTCAAAAGACACTCTCAATACCAAACTGAGACTGATTTTTCTTCAAGTGTACTCGTCTGAGATCCCGTCCTGGCGGCTTTTGCCGCGCTGCTGAGTGTTTAATAGCCGGAAATCTGTCTATTTCCGCTTGCCTTGGCGTTGATTATAGTTAATAGATGACCGACTGAAGCTTCCCCTCCGGCAGCTAATTCTTTTTCTGCTACTCTTACTTGATACTCGAGTATTAGTCGAGCCGTAATTATGCTCTAATTATATGCCCACTCTGTGTGGAGTGTGTGTGTGCGAGTGAGTGCCTCTGAGTATGTTTGCAACTGTATGTGCATGTGTGTGTGTGTGTGTGTGTGTGTGTGTGTGTGTGGCAATAAAATCTCAGAGCTGATGTAATTACAACGTGCCGTGTGGCAAGGCCTAGGTGGTTGGCGGGGCAGTCAAAGGCTTTAATTCTAGTTGCTCACCTGAGCGGCAGATAAAAACTTTGCAGTCGCGCGCAGATAAAAGTTGCTCCAAGTGGAGCGACTGGCAAATGACAATTAGATAAGTTTTAAGTATTTGAAATTTCTGTTCACATTTTATGCCACTGCCCGATAATTGATAAATCTATATCTTTGCTTCCTTCTCTTTCTATTTGCAGCTTAACAACATAGAAATGCTGATGCACATGTAATGTGAAACGAACTACGAAAAAAAGGGAGAACAAAATTCCAAATGAAAGCATAATTTAACAATAACTTAACTTTTAACGATACATATCAATTTCGGTCTGAGTTTTGATTTATTAATAGATCAAAAACCAATTTAAATAAGCTATAAAATATGCAATATCAAATATCAAAAATCAAATATTTATTGTAATCTTTTCTATCAACTAAAATATATTTACGGTAAATTAAACCGAATACAATTTAAGCAAATAATAGGCCAAAAACGTTAATTAAATTCCAAAGCGAATCGAAATTAGTCGTAAAAACCATTAAACGTGAAATTTCGCGAGTGTAATCGTGTTTGTGTGCGAGTGTACGTGTATGTGTGCGTGGGTTTGTACATGTGTTTTTGTGTGTACTAAGCGGCAAAATCGCTTTGTCATGTAATATCTTTATGTCGCGCAACGGATCAAGTGCTTAAACGCTAAGTAAAAGCCTCCCATGGATTTATATGCATAAAGGCGAGCACACGCATGCTCCCCACTCCCCCCACACACAGCTAGAACGGCGAGGCGTCGTAGAAGCCGCAGAAGTTTAGCCGCGTACACGCAAACGGATTAGCTGCAACATATAAAAGAAAAAACCAAGACAAACCAGAACCAAAAAAAAAAAAAAAAAAAATAAAATAAATAAAATAAAAAAAAAAAAGAAAAGAAAGAAACCCCAAACGAAAGAAAAGAAGACGTGAAAAGAAGAACACACTAGCACACATATTGAAAAGGAAGAGAACAAGCCAGAGGGCAGCCTCCTGGCTGCGACTTAGCCTCGTGCACGCTCTGCCACCTGTCATGACGTCAACGCACTGGAAATGGCCAAGCAATTAAGCTGTTAACGATGTACGTGCACTTAAGAGCCGCTCACACAGACAGACAAGCTGCGAGCGATCTGTAAGCAGAAGCGACCCGTGCAGCTGTGGTAAATGTTGCTGATTAATTTCAAGTAAGTTGATGAGCCTTTTTACGTATGTTTCTTAATGCAATTCCTACTTTCCATCTCTCGAAAAGCTCGAAGAGGGAAGAGCTAGGGAAGAGCTAGGGAAGAGCTGTTAAATTATTTAACAGATTGTCAATAATGCAATCTTGAGATTTGACTGTGAATGAAGTGAATGCAGCTCGTCTAAATTAAGCCATTAAAGTGTTTGGCTCAAGTTGCAATATAAATGTGCACTTATGCATATTGCTGTGAACAAGTTAATAGCATAATATCATTTATACACATCAATTAAATGCCTAATTCCACTTAATACGTCAGCATTTAATTGCATTTGGCTCAGGTTTTTATTTATTCAACCTGTAAATACACATATTTTTGATGGGCCAAAGCGGACTTAATTTGTCTATAAAACCTGTTTGCATAACTGAATGCATTAGCTAATTAAATAGAATATTTAATTTATTGAAACTATATTTGCTTTGCTTTCAATACAACTTTATAAAATAAGGAAGAGTAGATTAGTTTATGGCTGTGAATTTTTTATATTTTTTATTACAGTTTAGCTCGTATAGTAAAAACCATAACTTTTACAGTTTTACAGCCAGAGTTAATATTTTTACAATCTTTTTATTTAACTTGGCTGACAGCCATGAGCGAGCTTTACCCAGTAGACTGTATGCATTTCCAGTTAGCCATCCGCAACCACTTCAAAGTTCTCTTGAAAATGGGTCAACTTATTCTTTACGGCTTAAACTTTACTAAGCAATTTTAAGGCTTTTTAAAAATTACAAACGCAAATTTTATGCAAAATTATGAACGCTCATACATTTATGATGCGTATGTAATTGGTTTTGAAATTGGATCGAAACCATTTGGCTAGGGGCTGCATTACATCTCAAAGTGTGTTGCCGTCTGTCAATTGTTGGATATGAATTGCTGTGTGATGTGAGCTGAAGCGTGCATGCATAGACAAGCGGAGCAGCCAAGGTCCGCATTTATGACATGCTCAATGCTGGCAGCTGAGGCCTGAGCTGTCATGTTGTTTACCAAAAATTGGACAGCCAAAAACAAATAAGTTGAAAGGGAAAAAATCTTGGCAAACTCGTCTAATTTTAGCTCGATTCACACGCTTTGCTTTTAACCAAAATCCTACCACACAGACACACACACGTTATTCAAAAGCCCAATGAAGTTGAATCTGAAAACAAGCCCGAGAGATGAGCGCTGAGCGTTGAGCGCTGAGAGCCGGGCTAAGCTTGAAAAGCAGGCAATTTCATAGGCGCGCGGCTTGATTCAATGGCGATGGCAGCCATTGAGCGGCTTAAATACACATACTAAGTAAGGCAGCATATGCGAATATGTGGCATAAATCAAGCCCATGGAGGCCACTCACAGCACACACAATACACACTGGCACACACACAGACACAAACAAGCACAAGCCAATGGCGCTTAAAGGCATTTTGCAAAGTTTCTGACTTGAGCATTTCAATCGTGTGTTTTATTGCACACATATTTTATGCCGTTTATGCTCAAAATTCAGCTCAACATGGGCCACACACAGCCACACGCATACTCACACACACACACACACAGTTGGTCTTTGTATGTGTTGGTGTCTAGCGCGCAAAGTTGAAATTTCACTTGAGCAAAATGTATCAGAGTCCTCCTCTTCGAGTGTGTGTGTGAGTGTGTGTGTCCTGCGGCTTGGCGTTGTCTTCAGCGCGACTTTTGCTGGCGTTCGGGAAAAACCGCATTGCGGCACATTATGCGCGTCGAAATTCCGGGCTTGAAGCAATACCCTAAAGGCAGTTGGGCAAAAAAAAAAAAAAAGCACAAAAAGTAAAATAAAAAAAAAAATGAAGAAAAAAAAAACGCAGCTGCAAAAGAAATGCGCAATGTTTGCCGTCCAGATAGGAGGCGTGCTTCGTCTGTGGGCGTGGCCGTACACTATCAGTCGACTAGCGCTTCTATTGGCATTGCCCTTGTGCAGCTTTATTAACTCGACCAACTTGAGCGCGTCGCGTATACGCAGCGTGGCTCGCGGTTGGTCTGACAGCGAAATTGCAGAAACATAATTAATTAAAGTTGTTGTGCAGTTGAATGCAATTATTTGCCATGTGCTGCGACAAATGTAAATGTTTGCACGGCTTTCTGCCATTTGATATTGCGCATACGCAGCGTAGCCATGCAGCAAATTAAATTTGAAAAATCAACAGTCGAACTGAGGCTCGTCCTGGCGACGTCAATGGAAATGTCTTTATACAATTATAGACTGCCTGCGGCACACGGCTTTTGGCTGCCAATATGAAACAGAAGAATAATATCAACAGACATTCAATTTAAATTGCAGGTTTTAAGTTTGCTTTATTTAAATTTAGCTTGAATGAAATCCAAACACTAAATATTGAATGCACTCTAAGGGGATTTTCAATTAATTCCTTAAGTCTTTCTAGCTTACTTCAATACAGGGTAGCAACTCGCCAGGGTATTGAATCGCCGACTTTTTCAATTTGCAGATGGAGAATTCGTAAAATTTCGTCTATTTATATAGGATCAAATAATAATAAATGCTTGGCATGGCAAGCATGAGAGCTGCTTTGTTTGCCTTAGTTGCTTATTGATTTTTATTTACTAATGAAAAGTGAACATAAAGCAGAGTGGAGGCAGGCAGGCAGCCAGGCACTTAACCCTTTTACATGCTATCTGCTGATGACGTCAGATAGTCAGCGACTCGGTGAATGACAGCCAGCGTCTATATAACAGTCGGGCCGACAGCCTGAAATGGAATTACACTTTTAAAGAAAAACACAAGCAGGGCTCTTACTGCTCTGTAGTACGTGTGATTATCTGGGTTGCCTGAGTGAGCACACATGAAGCGTGTGCCATTGGGGAACCGTTTAACCCATATAATTATTACTATGCGAGCACACCCAGAATATAATGCGTGGAGCTGCAAGTCGAAGCTGTAAATAATTGTTAAATATTTATAGAAAGTGCTGGGTCCTTAGTATATGCTGTTGCTGCTGCTGTTGATGTTGATGTGGTGTTGTTGGTGTGTAATCATAAATGTTAATTGCACTTACATCACAAGCGTACATTCAGCAGTGGAAACTATTCAACCATAATTGCCGCGCTATTGCCCAAAGGATGTGAATTCTTTTTAGTCTTTCGCCTTCACTGGCACATCGCAATTCAATGAGCAGGCAGCGTGGAGCGTGACATGTGCCACTTCCGCCTGATAGCGTCACCGCCATGGATCCGCATTCGTATCGAGTGGGTATCGCTGCGAATAGAGGTGTGTATAGAAGTGTGTGCGTGCATGTGAGAGGGGCTGGATAGGTGGCTGTTGATATGTGTGAGCTGTCTGTGTGTGGCGTAAGTGCCAGCACATTGCACCGAACTAAAAACAACGTTCGCGTGACATTTGCACGTTAGTGCCAAAATGCGGTGCTTTAAGAGACGGCCGAAATGAAACGGGTTATTAAGACTTGTTTTTCATTCCCATTTTTATATCATGCTCATTTGTTTGCCGCTCTTGATTACTTGTTTGTCTGCCTGTTTGTTGAATTTAAGCATTTTGTAGAATTGTCAAGTGTGCGACAACTGCAAGCGTAAATCACCAGCAATTAAAGTCGCGTCAGTCTGGAAGTAGGCAACAGCTTTCTGCTCTATGCTGCCATTTTTATGCTCTCTGCTGAGCGATGCTTTAATGCGAGTTCTCTCAGAAGCCTGAAATGCATTTAGTATGCACAGCGAATGGGCACAAAACTGGCATTAGTTATGCAAACGTAACTTCTGCTCTTTAGAAATTTCGTATTATTTTGCCTTTTGCATTCGCCTATTGCATATTCCAGAGGCACTTTTGCTACTCCCTTTGCATGAAAATGCGCTGAGTATATTGGCTTAACGTTCCGCTTGAATAGCTGCTCGTTGTTCGCTGACCCTTGAGTCCACTAGTTCTTTGTGAGATTTAAATATTAAGCCATCAAGAGTATTATGGCCATTCAAGTTGGTCTAGCCTTGTAAATAGAGTATTGTGCAGTCGGCTACACTCGCTGCATTGCTTTAAGTTTTTTATAATGCAACTGCTGCTGCCATTTGTCTTAATGTTTTTAGCTGTTGTTGTTGTTGCTGCTACAGCTTCAACTGCTGCTGTTGCTGCTGCTGTTGCTGTTGCTGTTGCTGCTGTGGCTGCTGCTACTCCTGCTGGCAACTCTTGCAGTTACGTCTACATTTCCGCCTTTATGTTTGCTCACTCGCACACAAATGCCGCAGCGGCATGGCATTTGGCCAGCATTCTTCCTGCTTGTGCTGCAGTGCAATTTAACATTTGCATCCTTCAGTCGTCTGTATTAAGTAGCTCAACTGTAATGCCCAAGTTAATATTAATTCTGTGGCGCTCAGAGCCTATCGAATGTGATCAACGCAAGCCTTTGAGGTCGGCGCCGTTAGCTAATTAAAGCAAAATGTTTTCTGCCGTGCGCCGGCTTCATAAAAACGACGAAAAGGTGGAGCAGTCATCCAGCCAACTAGCCTGATTCTCTTCAGCGACGGCTTTTGGCCAAACAAATGGCCACATGACAGGCCAGAGACAGGCAATTTGCTGTTGGGTTAGGCCAGCTCGTCAGCTGGGGCTTGGTATGGGTAACTGCTGGGACTGATTCCAAAATTATACTGTGCGGCATCATCAGTGTGGCACCATCTTAACAATCACTTCGCAAATATGTCAACATAATTAATTTTCAATTATCCATGTGACATTCGACCCACACACACACACAAACACAGACACAGACACACACGAGCTGCGATGGGGCGTAGGGCATTATTATTAATTGTAGTCTAGGTGGCCATCAGCGTCGTCATTGTCGCTCTGGCGTCACTTAGTATAATTAAGCGCCCTTTGATAGAATTTAATACACAATACATTTGCCCGAGACTGTTGAAATACTGTTTTCTGATGATTGTAATGATGCTGATAAATGAATCGCCCGAATATTCAT